GGCAGTTCTAGCAAGAGCTGGAGTATTCCCGTGCCAACTCTCCTCTCTTATACCTACAGTTTTGACTCCTTCGAATGTTGGAGCCTGTCAGAGGGCTAGTTATGTCGCAGCGTCAGCCCACTTTCCACCAACTGTGCTCGCTGTGCAGCTTCTATAACTGATGGAGATCGCGTTGGAGCTGCGCTAAACTCAGCTCTCTGACACGCCGCAGCATCGGCAACGAACATGACCCTGTGTCACTGCCTCTATTCGGCCTGAACTCCCGCAGCCGTCACCAACCCCTTCGTTGAAATCAGTGAAACTTATTATTTAACACAGCTCATCAGCTCTAATCACCTGTTGTCAGTGCCCATCACCAAGATCAGTGCTACCGTACCACTCGCTTTATCAGTTGTTGCAGTCAACGTCCCACCTTGTTATAACATTAGCTGCAGAATTCAGGCAATTTTTTAACACTATTCATCATCCACTATCATTATTGCCCATATCTCAGCCGCTATACACTCGTAATCAGCGCTATACTGTGGCTACGACGGGCGCCACCAACTTTTGGACAGACCAGCTTATGCGCCCACACGCACGCTCATACCCATGGATTGCACATGGTAGAAGTACTGTAGCGGATAAAGGTTCAGCGGACTGTCGATATCCTAAGCTTGATGAAATATCATCACCAAGTAGTCCAAATATAAGCGAACCTGATCAGACGCTGCAGCTCTGTCTTGGTGTCCTGCTCTTCTTCCAAGGCTTCTCGCAATTGCTCGCATTCCAACTGATAATTGGATAACTGAAAATAAACTGACTGTGGGTAAGAATGAGCAATCTGGAACGGACTCACGAGCACTGCGAAAAAAAAACTCGGAGCAAACATTGAAATGGCATTTTCGTCACAATCTCAATGTGTCGCGACCAGGGTACAGCACCGATGGGAGAACTCCACCGGTGAGATCGTGGTTGTCGCTGGGCGAGGGGGTTGGCCTGCTCGAGAGGAACTTTCCAGGCCGCTAAGGAAATTTCTCTGGTTGGTAACACACCCATGTACTCGTCGTCACCACACTTCTTTGATGTGGTGTCAGAATTTCGATTCAGGTAGAAATTGGTTCCCAACTCATAACCAAAACTAGCCATAAATGTCTACGTTGTCGTAGAACGCATTACATTCTATGCTCTAATTGACAACACTGAGCAAACTTAGAGAAGTTCGCCTCTGTTGCCGCGCGCGACGAGTGGACGATTGTCTTGACAGTTTCCCTACCACGACCCTATTGATTAGCACCGAAGTGCTGGGTAGGGTGATTTATCCAAACGCGATGTCGCGATTCGAAGCCCCTGAATTACCCCGATTGGTAGGATCGAAGTGTGCTGTGATTTTTAGACCATAATTGCACCATACGTTGCCTATTGAATGAAACCTTTGGCACGTACCTGAAGCTGCAGTCCTTGCTTCTCCCTCGTTTCCTGCTCAATTTGCTTGCGAGCATCTTCAGCCTGAGAGTGGAGCTGCTGCTTGATGCGACTGAGAGCTGTGAGTTGTGACTCAGCATCTTCCAGCTGTCTA